TGAGTGATGATTATAGAAAAATGAATTCCCATACGTCTTTGTAAACATTAACATAAATCATATATAACTGCATACTTATGGTAAAAACACAGTAAATATTCCATGCACAAGACACGATTTTTTAGTACTATAATAAGGTGTATATGCGTGAGAATCTAAATGGATTGATTAATATCAGTGTATATAAAATAAAATTAATCAATAATATCTCATATAATTGAGAAGCCTTTTTTCCCTCCTCAAATAATTGAAAAGTCACAAATAGTAGTAAATCACATTTTCAACTTTATGGACAGCAAAACGAAAATGTCGACCTCCTGAAAAATACTTGTGTGATCGTGTTCGTGTGAATATCTGAAGCTGACTCGAGTGATAGGGGTAAAGATAAAATGTGTGTTGATATCAGAAGTTTGAACCTTCCTATTATACCAAAAAAATAATAGAATTTATAAATTAATGTGTGTATTTTTTAAATATAAATAAAAGTTTGGAAATTTGTTGTGGGGGAAAAACCAGATTATTTTGCATATTTTAAAGAGAAAATTACAATAGGGTTAAAAAAAACATATTCATAAACGTGTCCCATAACAATTAAATATATTGTAATGACAAATTTCACAGTAAAAAAAATAATAAGTTTCACTTGCTTACTGGTCGTTGAAACTTTTTAATACTATCTCTGGTCTTAATTATAAAACCCAATTGACTAGTTTGGGGAGATTAATGAACTTAGTTAAGTTAGTTATTTGTAATGAACATAGATTGCTTTTTTTTTTCCTGAAATATCCTTACTAATCAAGTTTGTTATCTAGAACTATCATTATTAAAGGACTATCATTATTTAAGACCAAAATAAAAATAAAATAAAATCTTATGTTAAGGATCGGAGCTAGTAATTATTTTCTTTCTACGTCTATTTAAAATATTCCTCCGGTCCTTAATATAAGACCCATTTGACTAATTTGATTAGATTAAGGAAGTTAGGTAAGTTAGTTAATTATAAAAAATGTGATATGTTTTTCCTAAAACACCATGATCATCTTTCTTAATACCTTTCTCCCTCTTCTACTTAATTATGGTTTAGAGAATATTTATAGGGGTAATTTAGAGAAAATTGATAAATATGATAAATGGGTCTTATATTTAGGATCAAAACCAACTCAACAATTGGGTCCTATATTAAGGACCGGAGGAGTATGATTATTTTGGCGGGGCAAGAGCTGAGAAGCCAGGCCTCCGGAATATGTTGCGGAATGTGGTTAGATCCTAATCTGGTTATCCACCGAATCAATATGCAGCAGTATTATATTATCTCCATTTTTCGGAGCCACCAGCTGTATTACTCTACGCTCTATTCCCAGTTTCCCACAAGCTACTGGCTATTATTTTGAATGTCAGTAGTCTTGAGACTTGATAGAATCTCGTATATTTCATTGAATTGGTACTATAAATGATTTGATATGTAATATGTTTACACATTGATGCCTCAGGAGTCAATACGCAATGATACTAGGTTTTGAAAATAGTGTGGATGGATGATGAGGCGCCTCCATCCATTATGAATTTGAGAAGTGGGGGAAAAATGAGTAGCTGGGTAGAGTGTGAAATTGGGGACGATGGCCAGCAAATGTGCGTATTGGGAATTGGGAATGGTTAGCGTGGGAGAAAATAGAAGAACGCAGAACGAAGGGTGGGGTTGACTTTGTTGTCTTCCTGTTTTATGAACATTGAAGAGGACACGCGAGTTGGGCAATTAGTCTCATGACTCCTCCCACTGCCAAGTACTCCTTCGAATTCACATTATAAATTTTAAATAACTAATTCATAAATAATAAATAATTGGTTAATTTTAATTGAAAACAATAAATATTAAAAATATAATTTTATTTTTAAATTTATTTTTATAATAAATGAGAAAAATATAAAAAATGTAATAATAACAAAGTTAAAAAATACATTAAATGTTAAGATAAATTTAAATTGAAACTTATAAAATATATTATGCATATTCTCAAATTTAAAGTCTATAAATAAGACCGGAGGAAGTACCATGATACTGATAGGCAAAATCTGAACCATAAAAAATAGGGTTAATATCATATTTAATTCCTGAAATTTTATCTCAATTTGATTATGATTTCTGAAATTTAAAACCACCCATAGTTTTGGTCATTAAAACTTTGTTCCAAGGACCTATTCCATGAACAAAATTTTTTTAAGCGAGGTCAGGTTTTAGAAACCAAAAATATTAATTTCAAATTCATAGACTAAAAATAATATTAATCCCAAAAAAATTACATTTCCAACGATCAGATCTAAAATTTATAATTAATAGTTTTTAAATAAAAACTATTTTAAAAAAAGACAATTGAGATACTATTTTTATTTTAAATTGTATGCATAATAAAATAACTATCTTATACATAATTGCAAGCAAAAGAAATTAAATTTAAATAGTTAAAATATGATGTTTATCACTTTAATGATCACCACCGAAACCGAAACCGGCCACGCCTAAAGTGGAGGACTGAGGATGATGACTTATATGTTGCTTTGAGCCGCGAACTTCTCATGAAACCACTCTTCCCAATTTCCCATCACTCATCATACTTGCGTTTATACACCATGTGTCCCTCCCCCTATTTATTCCCCTCTTCCTTTTATTTCTTATTCACACACACACACACACACACACACACACACACACACACACACACAAAATATATCTGGTCTTTAAACATCTGGCTTACTTATTGCCCACATCCACCGATTTTCAATGTCTGTACGTGACACATTCAATTATTTGTTCCCCTTCCATCATTCCTATTCTTCCCATGTCCTCAGATTTTTCTTCCCTTGAAAGTGGCCTTACACCAAATATATGACCCAACCTCCCACCCATGGCGTTGTGAGTAATTGAGCATCGTTATCACATATTTTCTGAATATATATAATCACCTTTTTATTATTTCTCAGCACATACCTTTTTTAAAAAAAAATATTTTTCGGCATCTGGAAACTAAGATAAATAAAAAGATTTCGTACACACTTGGTTTTAATCAGACAAGGGTATGCTAGCTAGCGTGGCACTGAGTAATTTATTGACCATATTCAACTAAGACCCGTAGCAGCCAAGAATATGACTGCATATTATTCCTAAATTAAGGCCAAAGGCAGTGCGCTAAGCATGTTAGTGAGTCACATGCAATGCCTCTCATGCTTCAAATTTCAAAGCTTTAATAATCATTTTATTTAATACCAAACAAAGCTTTCGTGTGAAACTGGCGTATCAATGTGCGTGTATATCATTTTTATTTAATTCGATTATCCTGCTAGAAAGACAACCTTTAAAACTGGCTTAAGAACACTTTAGGTGAGAAAGGAAGAAATGGAAATATTTGAAATTAAAAATATGAGAAATGAGATTTTCTTAACATATGATATGGTGTGCCATTCTCACTTTACTTGGGAGGTGGAGTTTGGGAAACTTTTAAAAGCAATTTAAAAAAATATTTTTATTTAAGCTAAGACATAAGTCCTATGACATGTTTATCTCAAATATCGTAAAATTATTTTTAAAAGACTAATCCAGACTTTTTTTTTAAAAGATTTATTAGGAGTGCAATTTAGGGGGTGTTTGGGAAATCCAAAACCATAGTTTTAGAAGCACTTTTCCGCAAAACGAGGTAATCTCCTCCACATATTTACTTCGTAATCTTTAAAAACACTTCTGAAACTATGGTTTGATTTCTATCCAAACACCTTTTTAATTTGCATTGAGCGGAACATGATTCTAAGGACGGCAAAATTCTACCGTCAACAATTTAATACTGTTGTATTTCTAGAACCTGACGAATGACGAGACACCTAGTTAACATGGTACATATGAGAAACGAGATTTGATTTCAGAGATAGCTAACAGCTAGCTAGCGGGAGTGCGCTGGTAAATGGCCAACTCATGCACGATGCGGCTGAGCCACACACCCCAATCTCATGAGCTGTAGCGACTACTAGGGCACTCACTCAACTCGGTGGTCCCCGCCTTCCTTTTATTTCGAAGCACCCCTTAAAACATAATAATTACTTCCAAGAAAAATTAAGGATTAAAATTTTCCAAATTGGTTCAGTTTATCATCACCCTTACTTTTAAAAGTTGTGATTGAGACTCCTTAAAATTGTTAATTTTATCACCTCAAGTTGTAAAACCCAGGTCCTTAGAAAATGAAATGACCAACTTGCAATTTGATAAACAAATTTTGACTTCAAAAAAATAAAATAAAATAAAGGCAGTGTCATTAAAAAAAGAAGTTAATTATTCAAAAGAATTGTCTTATATTCAGGTCTTTTTAGTCATATTTTTCCTTCATAAATCTATAGTTGTCCGTACATATTTTCTGTAATGGTGTCTTTATTTATATCTTCATTGGAACATTTTTAATCAAGACAAAATATTCAATTTAATTGACAATTATATGCTGATTATGTTTTGATTAAAAGATCTTGTACTACAATTACATATATATGCAAGAACTCGCCTTTTTGTGGAGATCTCGTACAGCTAAAATGCGTGCCAATCCCCCAAATCCTTCTTTGCTTCGTCTACAAGCCTACACCTTCCTCTTCTTCTATACCTTTTATCACTCGAAGATGTTTTATATTTTTATAATCTAATTTTAATTTTTTATTTTCAGCTTTTTGCAAGTTCAATACCAAACTGAATTTTATAATTTCTAGGCTCGAGACTCCATTTCAGTAAGATGTGTACTTAGTACTTGTATAATTTAAGAGTTTAAATTTACGAGAATGTTTCTTTCATTTTAAAAAGAAACTAAAGAACAAAAGATGTATAGAGATAATTGTATTTTCATTCATTGTGTTTGAAAAATATAAATTGATAGCTTTTTGGCCTTTTGGAGCTCTTACAACGTCTACCCTTTTTAAGAGGCTCCTGACTTCGGATGCCACTGCTTAACCACTACTCACCTCCTCCTCCACCATCTCCGTCTCCGACTCCGTCTCTGTCTCTCGGAAACCTCACCGCCCAATCCTTCAAAGCACGGCCATTGTCGCTGTAGCTTCTTCTCTCGCATTCTCTCTCACTTTCTCTTCACTCCCGTCTTTTCTCCGGTAAGAAGCTTTTCATTCTCCATATTCTCTCTTTCTGCTCCTTCTCTTTCAGTTCATCGCTCAGTAATGTGTTTTACTTCTCCTTTTTTTCATTGATTTTTTTTCCGATCGTTATCTTTTCACACTTCTTCCTTCCGTTCTCGGTACTGTTGTAGCTTTTTCCGCTGACACTTCGTCTTGTATCTCTTTTTTGTTTTACCTTTTGTTTCCTCTGACTCTTCCTCATTGTTTGTTTCCCTTAAATTTTGTAATTTTGTCGGTGAGTTTCTGTTCCGGCGGCTTTCGATGCTTCCTGCCATTTCTCTCCTCTTTCAATGACGAATAAATCATTGATGCTCCAAATTGCGCATTATTTGCCTACAGTTGATAAAATTTATCATCAGATTTTAGATTTTTCAGTGCCTTCTCTTACCGATGATTTTTCTGTTCATATGTGTACTTGTGTCAGCGCTCTTGCGCCATAAACAGTTTTCCCCATTTACTCCTACTTCTGAAGTCTTTCATTAATTTGGATCTAATTTGAGCGATAAAAACGGTTCATTATGAATATTCATAAGACTCTTTCATATTTATTTCTTCACAACTCATAGTGTACGGTTATAGCATTGGTTCCTGTACTTCTAGGATCAGAGGCCATTCATTAATAGGAGATCTTCTTAGTGATTAGATCTTCAAGATCGTTGTGAAAACATCATCCCTCACTGCGTCTTTACTTGATAGCAACTCGCGAAGATAATAATTTGAACGCCAATCGCTCTGAACTATGAGCAATTCGGGAATAGATTTATGGTGCCGTACTGACGGATGAGAATGATGACCATTGCCATTTTTGAAGGTGGTGGTGTTGCGCTGGGGAACGGCAAAACTACCACAGTCGTCTTGCGCTACTTAATTTAGTAGTTATACTTACCCTATAAATATGTTACTTGTCAGAACTAATCCGTTAAGCAGAATGCCATATGCTGTGTTGCGTGACTTACGTTGTTGAAAATCTCGTAGTTATTCTTTTAGCTGAAGATTCGAACTGGGACCTGTGTTACCATTCAATCTAATAATTGTGGGAGGCATTTGTTAGAAAGAATAAACAGAACTTTACACATGATGGCAAGACAGTAGCGTTTTGTGAGATAGTGAAATTATTTGTAAGTTGGTTGCACGATTTATTTCAGTGCTTTTCCTGTCATGATAATTTGGCGGTGCTTGAGAACCCTCTTAACCGTTTGATTAAATATTTCGTCTTACATGGTCCTTGTAGATTCAGATGGACCGTCGCTGGCCCTGGAAGAAAAAATCTTCGGATAAGACGGTGCTTGAGAAGGCAGCTGCTGCCTTGGACTCTGCTGGTGCTGGTGCTGCTGCTCAGGGCAGTCAGGTAGTACTTGAGAAAATTTGTTTACAGAGTATTTCTCACGTAGCTGTGATTGAGTCATTCATAATTTCGTTTTCTACCGATGACTTGGCCTTTCAGCTATCGTTCACATTTTCATACCTCAAGTTTCCTATTCTTTGGTGCTCATATTTTGTAATTTTAACTCGTTTAATTTCAGTACATCATGCAGGATCTTAGACTTCGTGCCTCTGTTTTAACCATAATATGTGCATTCAGGCTGCATCACGTTTATTTGTTTCAATGTTTGTACTTTCACTGTTTAGACTGGGGTTCTTCTGTTGTAATGTCTGTCTCTTCAGTCCTGACGCTTTGAATGATGATTTTGCAGTAGTCTCAACTTTGTTGGTTTTGCTAACTCAATTATACAATGTGATTGATTTACAGTTTTCTTTTCTTTTTCGTTCTTCATTGCCTTCTCTTACAGAATCAGGATAATTACAAGAAGCCAAACTATGTGCAAATTTCTGTGGAGTCATATTCACATCTGACTAGCTTGGAGGACCAAGTGAAGACATTTGAGGAAAAAGTTCAGACACTGGAAGATGAGGTCAAAGAATTGAATGAAAAGCTGTCGGTGGCAAATTCAGAGATAACTACCAAGGAAAGCTTAGTAAAACAACATGCTAAAGTAGCCGAAGAAGCTGTCTCAGGTACACATATACTGCTTGGATGAAGTGATACCTATAAAATATTATGATGCCGGTCGGCCTTCAAAGCAAGAACCTTTTGTTGTTCTTGGATTTAGAGTTCAATTGAAACTTCTATTTTGCAGGCTGGGAAAAGGCAGAAGCAGAAGCTTTGGCATTGAAGAATCATCTAGAATCTGTCACACTTTCAAAGCTCACGGCTGAGGATCGGGCATCACATTTAGATGGTGCTCTTAAAGAGTGCATGCGACAGATAAGAAACCTGAAGGAAGAACATGAGCAGAAAATACAGGAAGTTGCTCTCACTAAAACCAAGCAGTTAGATAAAATTAAGGGTGAGCTTGACGCAAAGATAGTTAACTTAGAACAGGAACTTCTTAGGTCTGCTGCTGAAAATGGGGCTCTTTCAAGGTCTTTACAGGAGCGCTCAAACATGCTAATCAAAATTAGTGAAGAGAAGGCTCAGGCTGAAGCTGATATTGAGCTTTTGAAGGGAAACATAGAATCATGTGAAAGGGAAATCAATTCACTTAAGTATGAACTTCATGTCGTTTCTAAGGAGCTGGAAATTCGTAATGAAGAAAAGAACATGAGTATGAGGTCTGCAGAAGCTGCTAACAGGCAGCATGCAGAGGGTGTTAAAAAAATTGCAAAGTTAGAGGCTGAGTGCCAAAGATTACGAGGTCTGGTGCGGAAAAAGTTACCTGGTCCTGCTGCACTTGCACAAATGAAGCTGGAAGTTGAAAATCTTGGCCGAGACTTTGGAGAAACTCGATCAAGGAGGTCTTCTGTTAAGCCTGCTAGTCCTCATTTGTCCCCATCACCTGATTTCTCCCTAGAGAGTATTCAGAAATTTCAAAAGGAGAATGAATTTCTTACAGATCGTTTATTGGCAATGGAAGAAGAAACAAAGATGCTCAAAGAAGCTTTGGCAAAGCGTAACAGTGAATTGCAGGCCTCAAGGAGCATGTGCGCTAAAACTCTGAGCAAACTCCAAAGTTTGGAAGCACAAATTCAGCCAATTGACCAGCATAAAGGATCTCCAAAGTCCATCATTCAGATAACCCATGAAAGTGTTTGTGGTCAAAATGCAAGCCATGCACCAAGCTTAACCTCCATGTCTGAAGATGGAAATGATGATGTTGGAAAATGTGCTGAGTCTTGGTCTACAGCATCGATCTCGGAGTTATCCCAGTCCCAAAAGGAAAAGAATATTGAGAAATCAAGCATATCTGAGGCCACTAGTAAGTTGGAACTGATGGATGACTTTCTGGAGGTGGAGAAGTTGGCCTGCCTATCAAATGATTCCAATGGCTCTATTTCAATGTCCTCAAGCAATACAACTGAAATTGTGATCAACCACGTATCAGAAGTCAGTACTTGCATAAATGGTTCCTCTGAAAAGCAGAGTGATTTGAATCCGTTACCCAATCTAGTGTCTTCTGGTGAAGTGTTGTCAGCCCCTGATCTCCAATCTGATGTTAATTACTTGTCACAGACAGAGCTTCGATCAAGAATTTGGGGGGTCTTTGAGTCCATGTCTAGCGATTCTGATATAGGAAATATCCTTGAAAACATAAAACATATTTTGGAAGATGCACGTGATGCTTCCAACAACCATTCTGTTGAATGTATACCCCAGGATGTCCATCCTTCTGATGCTACACGTGATAGGGAGGCTAACCCGGAAGATGTTGGCTCACATCTTGAAAAGAAATCCATTTCATCGAAGCAAACAATAGAACATGTGCAGATGACTGCAGACTTGGAAGCTGCCATTTCTCATATTCACCACTTCGTGCTGTTCCTAGGCAGAGAAGCAATGTCAGTTCATGACATTTCTGCTGATGGAGGAGTAAAGCTAAAGATCGAGGAATTTTCTCACACCTTTAATAAAGTCATATGCAAAGAAGCGACTTTGCAGCAGTTTGTTTTTGATTTGTCATATGTATTAGCTAAGGCAAGTGAATTCAGATTTAATGTCCTCGGCTATAAGGGTACAGAAGCTGAAACTAACAGTCCTGATTGCATTGACAAGATTGCTTTGCCAGAAAATAAGTTAGATCAAAACAGTCTGTCAGGAGAACGATATCCAAATGGCTGTTCCCATATTCTTAATCCTTGTGCTGATCCTCAGGTACCTGATGATGGAAATTTGATCTCTTCCTATGAAGCCAATGGTACTTCACGCCAATTCTCAGTGGATAAGTTTGAAGAATTGAAATTAGAGAAAGAGAAGACAGCAATGGATCTGGCAAGATGCACCGAAACTCTTGAATCGACGAAGTCTCAATTACAAGAGACTGAGCAACTTTTGGCAGAAGTGAAATCACAATTGGCTTCTTCTCAAAGATCTAACAGCTTGTCTGAGACACAGCTGAAATGCATGGCGGAGTCATACAGGACCCTTGAAACACGTGCACAGGAGTTAGAAACTGAGCTGAATCTTCTGCGAGTTAAGACAGAAACTCTGGAGAATGAACTTCAAGATGAAAAGAGGGGTCGTGAAGATGCTGTGGCTAAGTGTAAGGACCTAGAAGAGCAATTGCAAAGGTTAGATGTCCGTCTGATATCATACTGGTGTGACTGCTGATTGTGGACCATATACATATTCTGCCTAATCCCATGTGCTCGCTGTTGTTCATAGTAGTCGTGCTTATTTTGGTCCTTAGCAGGCCATTTGAGATGGAAAGTTGGATTTTATTTTTTGATTGCTTGACTATGTTGACACACAACTATACAGTTTTTATTATTTTGTCGTAACCTCTTGGGCTAGTTCTGTTTCTCACTCCCGTGTCACTGTGTTAGGTACGAGAGCTCAGCAGCTGATGATGACGTCAAGACTAAGAAGGTAAGGTTTTAACTGAATTTTAACTGTTGACTGCGATGCTAGATTTAGTGTGCTATATTGCATATATGTAAGTTTAAATTAAATGCTTTTTGACCCCAAAAACAAAAAATGAAATACTTCATTAATCTCAGGAGAAAGATTTGGCAGCTGCGGCGGAAAAGCTAGCCGAGTGTCAGGAAACAATATTTCTTCTTGGCAAGCAGCTAAAATCTCTACGCCCTCAAACAGAGCAGGGCGGATCTCCTTACAGCGAGAGAAGTTCAAAGGTTGATGAAGGGCTTATAGAGGAGGAGCCTACTATTAGTAACCCAAATTTGCAGGAGCTAGATGAGATGGACAGTGCCAGTTCGGCATTTGTGCAAAGATTGGGTCCAGAGTCCCCCTCGTATTTCTCCAACGGCCTTTGTCCATCTGACAATGAAGCAAACCTTGCCACCATATCTCCAGCAAAGAATCCAAGACACAGGCCTACTAAATCAGCCTCCTCCTCCGTTTCTTCGGCACCAACGCCGGAGAAACTTGCACATTCGCGAGGATTTAGTAGATTCTTTTCATCAAAAGGGAAAAATGGGCGCTAAGCCCGAACCAAGCTTGTTTGTATTTGACGACACCTCATCTTGAGGTGATTTGCAAACATCAGCGCTTTGCCCCCATTCATGATTTTACATAATGAATCTTGCGTGGTTAAGAGGAGAATCCCATGAATGTCAGGTGATTTTTGTATCCAATGGTTGTATATGATAACTATATGTTTCTTCTATAAACGTTATTTCCCCCTCCCTCGGGTTCTGTGATTTGACAACGATGACATGGTCTCTCAACTACGACAGAATATATTGAATAGACTATATTTTTCATATATTTATACCTTAATACTATTTGGGCACCAGCCAGCAAGTCCACCGCGGGTTTGAGATTTTTAAAGTTGCTAGGGTGCAGGGCTTGGGTGAAATATCAGCATTGATATGTGATCCAGTTTCCTATTGTGAGTCGAGTTAACCACACTGGCCTGCCTCGCCTTTCTTCTTGTGACTCATTTCAGCAGTTAGGGGGCCTTCTAGCTACAACACATGGTGTTACCGTATATCACGAGATAAACCAATTGACATTGAAATGCTGAGTGTAGAACCTACATTGGAAGTAAATGGACATTCTGTTTTTCTTTCCATATGAATCACCATGAAACATGAAATACGATCCAGCCAACCCACGTGGGAGTAGACCATATTCTCCCTGTGAAGGTCAAACATGGGGCTCCTGCGGGCAAAGCTTCACGTAGTCGTGGAATCACAATTTGCAATCTCATTCAACAATTCACAGCTTTGTGTGCCTCAGAGAGAGAGAGAGAGAGAGATCATGTATGTTTGAGCAAGATCCACCCGGCAGCTATCACCGAGAATCACAGGGCACCCTTCATTTGAGTACGATCCATCGAATAAATATCAGATCAAGTAACAATCTTATATTTAAAAAGTCCACATATATTTAAAAAGTCTAAAGACGTTCATTTATTTTCGCCCCCCTCCCCACCCCCTGGTGCACATGTCTGCGAAGGAGCTGGCCACAAATTGAAGTTTGGTGAAAAATCAAGGATCCACGTTATCATGGATACGTAGATATACATTTGACCAACCATGCACGAACGGCAACCGCAACCTAAATTGCTTTCATTATTATCAACAACAACAACAGGGTTTTATAACTATAATAAGAGGGTTTCGGAGGGACCATATACATGTATATAAGATCATTAAGTGACAATCCGAAGGAAGAAGGTTTCTAAGAATTTGTTTAGAGTATGAAAGGGGACATATTAGAAGAAGCGTGGGATGAGCGACATGTCCCAAGGTTGGTACTATTACGCATGTGAACAATGGTGAGAGTCAGAGAGAGTGGTCCTTCATTTGTCCTTTTTGTCCCTTCTCCTCCAAGCCAAACCCAGCTCGCACTGTCATAACACAAACCTCAATCAATCTAATAACTACCAATTAATTAAGAACAACGGCCTGCATAACTTCTCTGATCACTATTACGGAAGCATGTCCTTAATCATATCACTATGTACGATACCCAACATTTATGCCTCCTCTCTTCCTTATTATGACGCCATGATTCAGTTTGACAACAATATAATTCATATTCTATAATAATGTCAGTTTAAATTTTACTGTTAGTATGAAAATCTCATTGAAAGATAGTTTGTAAACATTTTACGGGCAAATCTTTGAGTAATAAAATCTATTTTTTCTTATGTGACTATCTTGTATTCAATATTATTATGTCAAATTTTAATGATTATAATAAACTAGCTATTATCTAAGAAGTAATAGCATGCCAACTTGTTGTAATTAAACAACGCTAAAAGTTTTTTTAAAAAAATTAAGTACTATATTTTTACGGTATGTTTAAAGTGAAGCTGAAGTTTAAAACTTGAGTTGCAGTTAAATGGGGTGTGGTAGTTTTCAGTTTGCACATGAAGAAGATTCCTTGACGATAAGTGGCGAGTGGCGAGTGGTGAGTGGTGACTGGACGCTGCACTCTCCTTTCCTCTGTTGCGACTTGCGACTGCTTTTGTGACAGCTTCCAACTGCCCAACGACTGTGCCTTTAACCAGACCCAACGCTTTTCCCTTTTCCTTTATTCCATCCACGGATGCCATACAGTAAAATAAGTACGGTTTTAATTCTTGATATAAAAACTAACGGATTAATTTAAGTAGATAAAAAAACTAATTAAGTTAGTTATTTATAATAAATATATATTTTTTCTAAAATATTATTGCTAAATAAGTGTCTTAATTAGAATTATCATTATAAGGTCTGCCTTAAGAATAAATAAATAAATATGAGAGACAAAGTGGATTGAAGTCTTATAGTTAGGATAAAAATAAAACTCAAATGAATTCTTACATTAATTATCAGATATAATATTAAGTATTTTATATGGTTTACATTAAGTTTTCTAATCACACAGAATTATATATTCTACCTTTTTTTTATATATGAAGTTATGAACTTATAATTAACTAATAATAATCCAAAAAGAGGATCGACGGCACGATCAGATCATTTGTGATTAAAAAAATTTAACATAATAAATATAAGAATACAAGTATTATCTAATAAAATAACATTATATTAAAAAAAATTTCTATACCTGATGACAACATCATTCACATTCTCCAATATTAGAGTTTTGAATCCTTCTATGCATGCAAAAACCTTAGTAATGATTAATTTATAAGCACATTTTTATAAGAGTTTTATAAGTTGTAAAGCTTAATTTGATCTTACTATACCTTGAAGATTTAATTTATTTAAATTTTTATTAAAGAATAATAAAATGTTGACAGAGAAGAAAAGAAGATGTAAAGCCCACATGCTTTCTTCCCAAGCGTTGGGATGGAGAAATTCTTACGAGAAAAATATACCTTTTCAGGTCCCAAAATGGAGAAAATGAAGCAAAATATAGAACCACATTTTTCTACAAGGCCTCATTACTTGATTCATCAAAACATAAGGAAAAATTTTCTCTTATTCCTTCTATTTTTTTTCCTTCTCTAATTTCCTCCCATTTTTTCCCCCCTCTAACGTCTCCTCCAACTACAGCATTAAAAGTTTGTGCTTTTCAAAAATGAAAGATTAAAAATGAATTAAATAATGCGCCATTTATAAACAAGCAAAAAAAATACAATGGGATTGCATTGCAGTCACAACTATAGTTGCTTTCGAATATCTTTACAATTTATTACTCCTTCCGTCCTAAATGTCCTGAATGTCTTATTTAGATGTTTTAAATATAAAACTCATTCTGTAATGTAATAATATTTCCAAACACTGATGGCAAAATACACTTCCATTTTAAATTGCAAAACTTGAATGAGACAAATTTTCATTGCATTATTTATCTTTCTATTTCCTTTAAACTTCGCCATTACGGGTTATGTTGTTTCGTACTTTCTTTTTCCTCAGAACATATCCTAAAATTTACAACCAAACACCGAACTGTCCATGGATAAACATAGCTTCCAGATATTTCGACACCAAGTAGATAGATAGAGAGAGAGAGAAGGGGATATATATGCATAAAACCCCAAATACGCTTTGAAATTAGTGTCTCCGACAGGTTACAATGGACGATCCTTCAACCCCTGTGGGAGAAATATCGCATTAATTGATTCTACCAACATTTACAGACATGCCTTTCTCAGGCTTCCTAATTCTAAACTAGAACCATGAAAATGGAGGAAACCAAACTAGGGAAGCAGATAAACGGAGAATTAACCAGCTTCATCTATGTGGCTGTTTTCTCCCCAGAAAAAATAAGGAAAAGAAAAGCAGCAGAGAGAACGGGGTTGTCTTTTTGATGTCTAACTTCATCCTCGGAGCATCGAAGCTATAAGAGACTCAAAAACATGTTGTTGGCAAGGAATAGTGAGACCTCTTTGATTGCAGAACCCAAATTCTTGAGCTGCTTCATGGAGCAACCTCTGAAACTCGGGACGCCTCAGAAACCAAATAGGCACAATATATCTGCTTCTCTTCTCTCCCACATACACCACAAAATGACCCTTTGGCACGTCCATTGGCAAACCCTCTTCTTCTTCCTCCTCGTTCTTCACCATACTTGACCATCTCTTCACCATTTCCTTCATCGCTGTTCTCTCTGAACCAACCCTCCTTGTCTCTTTCAATCCCAATTTCTCTCTGCACATTCTTCTCAGCGACATAGCCTGAACTTTCCGAGTAGTGTCTCAAAATCACAACTTTAGCTTCGTATTTATGGTCACTCTGCTCAGCAAGAGCACTGAACCCTTGAGGCGGGGAGAAACAGGGTCACGTGGGGAATGGGATTGTGGGGACTAAGCAAAAACTAAGCCTAGGCCTCTAGGGTGCTCTGCTTTAAGTCTTAACAAAAGAAAAAATGAAAAATAGGGTGGTCCGCTCCCATTTTGTACAGAGTACAAGTCTATAAGATGAATCATGTTGTTGATAGCTATATTTAAATTTAAATTTGATATTTATGGTGTGTTTTATAGGTGTATTAATTTTTTTCTCCCAAGGGTACGTACGTTAGTACAGGACGGTTTCATCCGTAGGTAGGCTCTACATGTGAATGTCACTTTGGACATCCTATTCCCCATGACAGTCGTACATTGTGCAGTGTCGTTCCCCTTCCAAAGACAATTTGGTCCCAGCTCAAATGCATTGATTAAACAGTCCGTAAAAACAAAGTTTATGCGAATATGATTAGCTAATTTATACGTCTTTTTCCAAGTTTAAGTTGTAAAACTCTGGATGATTTTAATGAGTTTTAAGACTCCACTTACGTTAGTATTTTACTTTGAAAATAATGTACTGTTAGTGTACTCTGTTGTTCTTCCTTCCTAGTAAGAGTACATAAACGGATAACTCCGTAGGGTGGCTAATAATGTAAAAAGGCAATAAATTAATCATGTTCTACTATTTTTTTTTTTTGAAATGTTACATTTGATATGAGCAACTACTAATAAAGTTACTATAGTTTAATCTATATATCTATTAATGGTAAGTTGTCTTGATGGTAACGTCACTCAATATGTTTAGATGAGATTTTAGATTTAAACATGATGTTAGATATATTTATATGTGTGTCCTTGATTGTATAAAGGAAAAAAAATTCCATATACTTGTGAGAACAAGTGAACATGGAATATAGATGCATTAGGTCCTTGCTATAACCTAAAATCTCATTTTCAGGGAGACACACACAAGCACACTTACTTTGGCTTCCTAGGATCGTTTGATTCTTTTCAATGTATTTAACCGATTCAAAAGTTTCGAGGATATAGTTTTTGTGTCATACTCTGCTTTTGAGATGCTTGACATGTTTCCACCTTCTTTCTCAGGCTTATGACACACAGCTGTGAGCTGTTCAATGCAACACTTGCAAGGGAAATGCTATGAGCAGAAACAAGAAAAAATGGATAAAGGAAAAAAATTGAACTCTTATATATTTTTCTTTATTAGATGCCACAGAATTTATGTAATCCAGTTTTATGATAAATTTTACCAGACATGGAATTGTTCTTATATATAAAGAAACCTAATCTTCAGGTTCAGCCACTAATAATATAAGTCAAAGATCTATTATCCCTCCGGGATTTGGCCGACCTCAAAAATTCACTGGCCAGAAATTGAGGATTATACAAAGTGCGCAGGCCAGCTTCTTAAATAATACTGATGTATTAGAGTCAGCAATTTTCACCGGGCATTAAATTGAGAGGCAAAATATAATATACTGACCAGAGAAACAATGACTTAGCAAAATGGAATACGCCTGTATTGTTCCTTATTTCACTGATTACCCTTTCACAGTATGTCAAATTCAACCTTTAAAATTAGTGGGACTCTGAAGAATCTTTGACAAATACACAGAAAGGCAGTGTACTCCTTGAGGCTCAAACACTCACATCAAGCACGGTCCAATTCAACACAAATCAAATCAAATAAAAAGGAAAAGTTTATATATATATATATGAGAGTAAAACATAGAGGAAAGAAATTTGAAGGTGAACTTTGAAACTGTACAGAGACAGTACTGGAGCATCACGAGGGACAAGTTCACACCCAAGTTAAATCCGCAGGATTGATTGAAAAGGAAAGAAAAAGGAGGGGGGGTTGGCAAATTCCAAGGGGAAGAAAATGGCAATAACTTTTCCAATTCACTGCCACTGCCAGGGAGCACATGAAGGCATGTTACTTTGCACTCAAAACCTGACTAGACAACGCGGGTTGTAAGGACTTGTTAGTGTCAGCACCAACTGCTTTTTCCCCAATTCACTAAACATCATACAGACTCAACACCTGCGTGTTTCAATCTCTCACAAAAACCTCCACACACCACACCCTACCATCATAATAGCCCAAATAAATAGTGGTGCCCCACACTTCCCCCAAAACATTAAATACTTACCCTCTGATGCAACACATTGTCAAGCCATCTCATACTCTAGCACCATGTACCCTGCAGTATTTTACAGTGTATGGTTATTCACAGGAAAATCCGCTTTGAAACTAAGTGGTTTCTTTCTTTAACCGGAGTCCTATGAGGGGAGTCTCGCATGAAAGATGAAACTTAAAAATCTTCGGAGTGCTCCCATTTAATAAACTGGTTTTTTTTTTTTAAGAACACTCTTTATCTAATAAACTATCAAGCAAAGGCAAGCAAAATATTGACCCCATTACGGCATGTGAAAGGACTTGACGGATGCACGCCTAACATGTACAGAGTATGGTGGCATATTGATGCCAAACTTGGTTTGTATGCTACAGACACTGTTATGTGGTTATTAGAGTTAAGAGGATTATTACTTAATTAGAGAGGACTACTAATATAAACTAAGTATCAGTGAATGTATGGGGGGGGTCTTGTGAAATCAAATGCATTCTTTTTTACTTTTCTATTTATTATAAAGTAAAAGACACCGACCGACCGACCGACCATGACATGATAAGGACCAAGATCCTACAAGAGGGTCCTAGCCAGGGTGTGGGTGGACAGTTCGCTGGGCAAGCCTGCTTGAGACTTATGAGGCCTAGGGATGTTAAAGAGCTCAATAATAGGCAGGGCTGGGTTATAGAGTGGGCCTGAGCTCTTAGGCCCTGCCTGAGGGAAAGTCACCGGGGAACTAAGTCCCGCGTGATAACAGTAGCAGTGTTCCCATCTTCTAGTTAAATGTGAATAAAGCCTAGCCTACACAACCGTGTCCGTTGACTCCTGCACAGTGTAATTCAGAAGAAAAGCGTCCCATGGCTCACCCAAAGAAAAAGGACAACGAGGAGGGGGGGGCGGGGGAAGCTCAACGTTGATATATGTTACCACCACTCCCTCAATGCCTGAAAGCTTTTAAAACCACCTACTCATCAGATCCCACATGCACATCGAATCATAGATCCTACATCTAAAACGGGGTTATAAAACAAAATTGGTGCACGCTTTTTTTTCTCTCTCTTTCATTCTGCCTTTTTATCCTGAGATCGTGCCCTTGTGAACATCTATGCATTTTACTAGCTAAGGTCAGCCAGGTCAAGAGTACATGTTTTCTCTTACATTGCTTTAGTGGAAGTCAAATTTTGACCTAATCCGATGTGAAGCCAAATGTGATACCTGTACAAATACATACTGAGAGGGGGAAAAAAGCCCTTATCCTCACTCCTCAGGTCTAAAGATGATCAAGAAGTTTTCAAATCCAGAAACGTGTATAGGCCTCTCCGAGCGATTAAGTTGACAAGACTTCGACTTCTATAATGTAAAAACTCTTAGAAAGTCACACTATTTACAGTTACCATCAATGGAGCTTATTTATCACTCGGTGATACCATTGAAACCCACATTAGTTATATCGTACAACTTACAAGTGTCATGAACATCACCGCTCATAATAATTCCCTAATGAAAAATTCAAAATAATTCAAAGGGTACAAAAATTTCAAACATGCCAGCGCATGCTGAAGCTGAAATATGACTCATGGGCCTGGAAAACCTGACATAGAATTGGCAGAAGTTGACGACGGAATCATACTTCCTAGTTCCAAGTATTCTTTCTCCACACTCGTTAAGAATTAACACTTCGTCAAATCTAAGATGACAAAACTGCAGGCTTCTGTGATGATTCTTCCGCCTGCAGACTCTCATAATACTTGACAAGAACCTGCCATCCACCAGGGCACATAAAACCATCCGGTGGATTCTCCCCACTTCTTGCATAAGCTCGCATCTGTAAAAACACATCCCCAAAAGAAGAAAATAAATAAATATCTACAAAAGCGGCTCTAATTGCAGACGAAAACTAGCTGGTTGATAATTCATGAGCAAAACAAGTTCAAGAAGAATCACGTATAATGGGGCCATGTAATGAAAACAGAGTAATTAATGACAAATTCAACACATCACAGGTATATAGAGCCTTATATGATATTGATTAAGCGATGGGTAACAAATACCTTCGTTCCTGATATGAAAAGGAAATTTTCAGATCGAGTTGGATCAAAAAATGCCATCTTCTTTTCCAAAGTGTCATATGCTGCCACCTGCAATTGAAAAAAAAAGGCACATATGGCAGAAATCGTCATGTCCCACCATTGAGAGTTGCTATATGCAAGGTCATCGTGCCTGGTAGAGATTACATATAGACAGACACACGTTGGATGCACAGTTTGGGAAGCCACATAAATGCGCGTGAATCCGTGATGATCTCAGTACACATAAGCAAGTCATGTATTGAAATACACAATTCACAACGATTAAAACTGTCGGGAAGACATCAAACCAGTGAGATTAGATTTATGTAATGTTCAAGGTAATCATATATGCACAGATGTATAATTTTAACTTTTTGGGGTATGTAAAATCACGGGCAATTCACAGAATTTAACCACTCAAAGAAGAGGATACAAGGTATGCTTCAGTACGTTGTCCGCTTGAAAATGTATCAATTTGAACAAAACTTAGCCAAAAGATTAGGATTTCTTGGTCTACTGAATGAAGACTGGAACTAAGAATTAAGAAAACCAAAAGATGTCTCATTGAGTGCATATTCCAGAACAAGACAGATGATTGTGATGACTGACCCATTACCCATTTAGACTTGAAAATTAAAAGGCCAGCTAGTACCAATAATTACACCGCCATCAAAAGAACCACAGATAAATAGTTCCCCACATATATTAATCACAAAAGTATGATGGAATTACC